AATAATCTATGAAAGTCAGCATTTGAAGGCAAAGACACATAAACATGTACATGGTCCATCAATCATAAAAGATGTTTGCGTGGCCAAGGCAAGGAAGTCTGTGTTCAAATAATTATTCCTCTTCAACTTCCTCTGTGTCCTTGAGCAGTCTTCCTACAGAGCTTCAGGGTCTGTTGCTATTTTTTACAGGTGTTACACTGATTATTTACTTTTTTTACAAAACATTAATCAGATAACATAGCAACCAGAACCATATGAATACTCAATATATACAGCTGCATCCTGTGAAATCTTTGTGTAGTATCTCTTATGTTCATTTCTAGAAAAGTTTTTACACATGTTGTAATCCAGCAAAGAAAAGGGAGCCTGTCAGTTGGAACTGAAGTGGAATAAAGACTACATTCTTATTTTCTGCCAAGGAGCAGGTTTAATGAAATATGCAGAGACAAAGAGAACTTTGTTAATGTTTGTTCGCTATTCAACTTCGACCAAATACTCCTCAAAAGTGTATAGTCAACATTTTGAAACATGTATTGAAGGGAATTTTGAAAATTGCAGATAATTGAAAACAACGGCAACATTAAGTAAGAATCTCTCCAGTAAAATCTTATCTACTCTGTAACAAAGCCCTGTTGCATATATAACTAGGAAAGATAAGCTATGAAAAGTAATAGCAGAAACAAACCCATTTGTTGAATAACACAGCATAGGAGTATTCTCAAATATTTGATCAGACTTTCAGCATTAGTTTTGCCAAATGCTTTAGGATGTCCAGCGTCTATGGGTAATGATGAGTGAAAATCAGTTTTGGACAATCATTTCAACTTTTAAAGTTCATTCATTGTTTTGACATATGCTGTCATCTCAGCATCTGCAATTTTAACAAATTCTTGGAAAGTGTTTTGCTCTTGAATAGTGGCTGGTCTGACAGAGACGCACTTGAAAATGTTCCTTTTTGCATCATAGTTTCCCATACACCTGTGCACACGACCTCTAATTAGTCTTGGAAGCTCCCGGTCCTTCATCAAAAGCAATAAACAAAAAAAATTATATTACCTTTCTAAAATAAAAGCTTTCAAAATATCCAGTTGTTAGATATTGATGGATTTCTGAAGACTACATCAAACACGCAAGGAATTACATCAGCTTTTTTGCTATTATCAACTAGTGGAAGCTGAACTCAAAGTCCCACCTTTTTTTGCTGAAACAAGCCTGTGGCTGTGTAAATAGTGAGCAGCTCTAGACCAGTGTGGAAGCAATACGGTATCAGCATCCAGCTTTCCTTTTACACGGGAATTTAGTGCTTTATCAGAACAACGCATTATTAGCTTCATAAAAGGGATTATCGCTAGTGATGTTTGTGTTACGTACGGACACAGAATACTTACGATTTCATAAAATACACAAGGCAGGCTCTCCTTTCCGTCTCTCAGAAGAAAATTCTTTGCGCCATACGCTCCAGGTGTGACCGCAGAATCAAGTGTGCCTATACCATTGGGTAAAAGTAAATCACAGCGTAAACATCAGAGCAGCACCAAGTATGAGATGCAAAGGTAGCACAACAACATTTACCACACACAAGCACTCTGGTAAGTCAGCATCAGCGTTCTGCGCGAACCTGTGCTGACAGTTCCAATACAAATTACGGGCTTTACAGAGTCGGTGAATTGTACACTTGTCTATGACATCTCTCTGAAGTGAGGGACCAACTGTGGTTTTCATAACTGCCTCTGTAAACAGGTTATTCCTTTGTTAAGCAGAGGACAACACAAATCCCTAAGTTTTATTGATCCCCATATGCAAATCAACGTTAAATATTTGCAACCTTGTCAAAATAACAGTTTTCTGAGACTCCATAACATTGTATATTCTTCTTCACCTTGATTTAAAGTTTAGTCATTTCAGGCTTTTGTCATGTTAATTTCTCAGATAACTTCAACGGAAACACAAAGTGAAACACGTTAAAGGTCATCTATGCTTAGAAGTACACCAGACTTGAATTTATTATTAATTGTATTAAAAATTACTGCAAAGCTACACCTCTCTACAGAAGGTTCCTATTAATTAGTAAAACTTATTGTAACACATTCTAAAATCAAGGAAATAAAAGAAACAGGATAGAAAGAGCTTAAATGTTGGAGAATGACTGTATTATTAATTTTGTACCTATTTTAGTCACATTTGATACCTGAATATATGCCCCAACAGAAAATCAGATGGTGCTGATGCCAGTATTTTGTGGTTTCGCTACTGTCCTACAGCTAATAACATTTTCTTTTGGCTGTTGTCCTAGTGTTACTATCAGTTATATCACAATCTACCGTGCTTACCTAAAACTTCAAATAATAGTGCAATTTTATAAGCATATTGACACCAGTGCCTCATACTTTCAATGACTGCAGATATGATGCGCAAAGAATTCTTTTTTTCTTTAATTTTTAATTGAGATGATGAAAATTCCTTTCAGAGGGAGATGAAGACAGGTTAGAGACACAAACACAATCTTAACAGGCCCATACACAATTATGCATTATGTTTAATATCCAATATTTACATTAAAATTAGAAGAACTATGATCATGCTAATGATTGTAGTTTATTATAGTATGAAAACATCAATTCTAAATTTTCAGAAACTTAAGGGTTTACTAAGGCAGCTAGGACTGAGGAAAGCCTAATTTTTCCTCAATTTTCTTTCTTTACTGTTTTCTTTATATCTTTCTATTAACTCCCGCCATAAGTTTACCTGACTTTTATCTTCTGCAACACAACCAAATTCTTTCTCATTCATTTTATTTTGCTGAATATCATGGTTAAATTTATATGCCAGACTACGATCCTGCAGAGTTCTTGAAACAGCATTAGTTTTCACTGGCCATTGTCCTTTAGATGATGCATACGTTTGGCTGGTTTCTGTTGTTTTCATAAGCTGAGGCGAATTACAGTTACCAGGGCGTTTTTGCTGCTGTACAGTTCGCAAATTATTTGAAAGGTTCTCAAACTTGTGCATAATTCCACTATCAGATCTTGCATTTGGTGTGTTACTTAAAGAAGCATACTCATTTCTGTTCCAAAGTTTAGTACTGGGAGCCTTCTCTTCTGCCCTGCAGTACAACATTAGACATAGTTCAGTATCCCAATACCTATTATGAATACCCAGCTATATAACTAACATATATAAAAGTAATTTATGTATTGTTATTTTAGCTTTAAAAATGCTTGTTAAATACTAAGACTCAAAGCACTGAGGTATACACTTAAATTTATCCACTTACAGGGCAGTAATCATACCTGTGGCTTAAATTCAGCTGAATTCAATGAGCCTTAAAAGATTGCTCAATTATTGTTCTGCCCTGTGTAAGGGATCCTTCCTGACCTAAGATTCACATCTTTTACACAACTCTAAAATAAAATAAGCAAAGGTGTTTTTTGACAGTGATACTTCCAACTTCATCTACCAACATCACCAAAGAAGTAATTTTACAACAAACTCTAGTGCTAACCTTATGGCAAAGATTAGGGCTGGGCCAGCCACTAAACTTTCATGGACACTCTCTGTGATGCCCCAGCACCCTTCCAGGGGAGGATAACAGGGAAACCAAGGAGGGAGACTTTGAGGTTGAAAAAAAATTGAACCAGTATAATGAAAAAGAAAATAACACATAGAATAACAACGAAGTTGTTGAACTATATACAGATATTATACAAGCATGTAAATGTATTCAAAAACAGAAGAGAATATGCTAATACAGAACCTGCACCATCCAGAGGATGATTAGGTCTCAAGTGGAATAAAGTTCCAGACTGGACTCGGGAGATGACAGAAGCATCCAAGCCCAGAGTACCAATGATAGTCAAAAAAAACCAAACCAAAACCATAAAACCCCCCCAAAAAATTAGAAAAGCAGCTTTGCTGCTCTCACCCAGGGAGGCAGGGAGAAGACCTGTCTCAACAGACAGCGCAGGAACATCAGCATTACAGGGAGAGATGCCAAACAACTAACAAGAACCCTTTCACCCCACCAGGCACCACAGGCCCCAGGGCTCTTCTTACGGACCCTTCTATCCCGAGCACCATGGGAAGGAACAGTGTGATTAGTCCATTTGGGTCACCTGGCCCCTCCTCTCCTCCCCATAGTACAGCTGCAGCCCAGTTTGAAACGTCCACTTGTTTGAAACATTTACTCTCTTTTTGCCCTTAGAAAGAAACAGGAAGAAGGGAAATGAGTAAAAGGAAAATTATAACGTTGCTGGAATATTTCCTGCTGGCTCTAAGCACCTGAACCTGCAAGCGTTTCCTTGGTTTGTAAAAGCACACAGTTCACAATTATATTCAGTTTTGATTAAATGTTTTGACATCAAACTGCCCTGATGTACACTGATAGAAACTTGTTTAAGTCTCTCGATGTATTTGATTTGAAAGTGGGCAAAACTTTAGGAGAAGGGGAATTTCAAAAATTACATCTAAGACCAGCACAATTCTATCAACTTTTATGGCGAGACTGACGGCTTGATAATAAGGCTACATATTAGGTCTAATTAATAGGCCTTATAAAGTACACTGGAAAGATACTTCCTTTTGGTAGGTTTTAGCTCATAAGCACAATGGAATTATTGAGAATTACAATGACGATCTGAGAATTAAAAGGGTCTCTCTGAATACTACAAGAACATGGAATAAAATAAGACATATTTTCAAATGAGAATAATTTTGGTTAAGGAAGAATAATAAAAATTAAAGACTTCACCAACCTGCAGGCATACAAGTTTTTTCCAGAATTTGCTAAATTAGACTTCGATGCATTTGGTGGTTTCATTGCGGAAGGAGGCATCTGATGTTCTGTTCGGCTTTCAAAGATAAATTTGAAGTATCAGTGGCATAGTAGCAGCTTTATTGTAAGACATAGGGATCATAGTTCATGAAACAATTAGTACCGAAATAAAAACAAACAATAAGCAACAAATAATCTGCATTTACATACACGTTGTTTGCTACTTCAGCCACTTCTGGGTTTGCAGTTTCCCAGCCTAAAAAAGACAAAGGATGGAACGTGGATACAAACTGAAAATAATAGGTCTCCTTAGGGCTCCTACTCTTTGTCTGCTTAATGTTCCTCAAATAGTCTCACATGTTAAGAAGGAAAAAAAAGGGAATGTGATCCTTTGATATCTGTAATTATAAGGCAACTTCTAAGAAGTAGGTTGCTTCTCTAGACAACGATTAAGTTACAGACATCAGACTTATTAGCACAGAGACTTTTACTTTATTAAAAGTAAAACATTTAAAAAGTACTAAAGGAATAATTATAGATCATTCTTTCCAAGCTGAATTTGAAGAACTGGACTTCTCTTCTGAATTACAAGAAAAACATCTTATAAAGGCTTCTTCTTGTACCACAGGACTTGAATGTTGATTGAAACCAACTGAAAACAAAAGGTCAGAGTTTCAGGAGACTCTATTTAAATGCCAGTGCTACTTCATTCTGTAACACACAAAGAGTCAAACTCCCTCTAGGCACAAAGTATAAAAAGCACAATTGTATTGAGGAGAAAGAAATTTCCTAGAGGACTTTTTTTACATAATGAACTTTTCAGAAATAAAGGATACATATAGTTCTTGATAAAGACAATGTCTGATTTAATAAAATACAATTACAAAGTTAAGGTTTATTTTGATTTACAGCCAGTAAAAAAATAAAATCTATTTTATTTACCGAATGACGTGGGAGAAAAGTCGTAAATACAAGTCCCAGAAGTGGAACCTGGCTCATTTTTAATTGGATTTGAAGTGAGGGGCTGTCTAGTTCTTTTTTTTTGATTGAAGAGAGGTACAGGCAGACAACCTAAAATTAAAATTCTAACAATAATTCTATACCAATAGCAAAAGAATACACAATCTACACTTTAAAGTATGTAAATTACTTATCAATTATTTTACAGCACCCATAGGAATTACATTTCATAAACGCACAACAGCCCAGCCATTCCCTCACGGGATTTATATTGCCAGCCCCCTGCCCCTGCAAATTGAACAGTTTCTTTTAGTGCCCCCGTTCAAAATCTTGCCCTGTGCTGCAACAGCACAGAAGACCCATCAAAGCTCCCTCAGGAAATGGGGATCTAGGACAGAAATTCTCGGCATCCTGTACGCACGGTGCATGAAGCACGATGAGGTAAGAGGGGGGAAGCACAGAAGAACGGATGGTACCTGCTGTGCTGCGACTGGAACTGTCAACAAGGCTCCTTTTCATTTCTTTGCCGTATCTTAACAGGCAACAATGTATTGATTACTCCAGATTTGCTGTATGGAAGTTAGATAAGCAAAGTAAACTAATTCACGTCGTAAACACACTCTAATTTAATGTGATTTTATGGCAGTTTATCGTAACTGTCTGCATACCCAGTGCCACGCACCACTTCAGACACAAGCCTAAAACGCGCAAGGAGCTGGACCAGAGTTAGAAGATCCACTGGTACGCAAGCAACACACAATGCTCTTGCAGATTAAGGGCCCAAATTATTACTTCTTTGAAGTTGTAACCAAACCGCACAACTAAATCTGAAAACGAAAAAAAAAAAAATGTAAGCTAGGGACGGAGAACAGGAGATCCCGGGGTAAGCCCCCACAGCCCTTCACACAACCAGGCTAGAGCCTGAAGAACACGACCGAGCCGCCGCCTGAGGC